TTTGTAATGGGTCGGCTTCCTCTTTTGGAATAAGTGTAATATAGGCTTCTGGCCATGATTTAGGTATCTTCTTTTTTAACATAACTTCATTCATAACTTCTAGCAATGGAAGATTCAACGATTCTTGTAATGTTTTGTAAAGTTCTGCCAGAAGTCCATCTGGGCCTGGTGCCTTTTCATTTTTTTGCTTCTTGAGTGTTTCAGTTAACTCCATCATCGTTATATTGCTTTCTAACATTGTTTCAATCTCTTTAGGTATCTGAGGTAAATTAGCATTCTGTAAGTACTGTTTAACTCTTTCCTCATCAATATTCTCTTGCATATATAGTTTCCCATAGAAGTCTCGAATGATTTCCTTCTCTTTACTACCATAGCAAACTTGGCCTTGGTCATCTGTTAATTGCAATATTTTCCTTGATTCTTTCTCCTTTCTCAATTTGTATGCTAACCATCTACCTGGTTTGTTTGCGTCTTCAAAGTAGTTCTGTTTAGCACCTCTAATTTTCTGTGCTAATTCTTCTTTTTCTTTTTGACCCATTTTATGTTTCACTATATCTATTTTTAACTTGATGTCCTTTTTCTGTGTCATTTTCTGTAGCTCTTTTTAAAGTCTTTTATACTCATCCTCTAAGGCCTTAGAGGCTAATCTTTTCATAGTATTTCTTTTCCTTGTATAATCTATTATCAAGCCGCTAACATATGCCTTCATTGTATCCCATACATTCTGAATTGATGTATCTTCTTTTTTGTTTTCTCTAAAGAAAAAAGCCAATTCTTTCTCCATCCACTGTGTGAAGTCTTTTTCCTTTAAAATAGTATTATTTAACGTCCATCTAGATCTTCTTTTTTGTCCTTTCCATTTAATTGTCATTGGATTGTGATCTGCCCAAGTACTTGTTTCAATATTTATTTCTTGAATATTAGTTATTAATTCTGATGACATCCATATCATATCTATTCTGGACCATGATAAGTGTCTATTTGAATAGAAGGTGTATTGTTTAGTTTTAGCATTTCTTTCTCTCCATGTATCTTTTAAGTTTATTTCATCTACCATTTTTAAAAAAAGATTTAGGGAGAGTCTTTCTGTTTTGCTTTATTGTTTTCTGTGCTCTATAGTCCAATTTATTGTCTACAGTTCCATTAAAATCTCCCATCATAACTATATTAGCATAGTCCAGTTCAATTATTTTCATATGTCATTTTTTGTAGAATTCTTCTTGTTTGTCATTCGGAGCATAGATTGCAATCGGGAGTGTTTTCGTATTATTGTCCATTATTTCCACCATTAGTGTTCTTCCATCATCATCGGTAAAAATCAATTTTGCTGGGATGATCTCTTTAATATATAAAACCACTCCTCTTTTCTTACATTGTGTCAAGGAAGTAAATATTTTCCCTAGTTTTGGCCGTATCAACAATTGTTCATATTTTTTTTAAGATTTACTTCTTGTAGACAAATTATATCAAATTTTAATTTCTCTAATTTATGAAAGGTTTTCCTTCTTTTAACGGCTGAGTTAAGTCCATTTATTTTAATTGTAATCAGTTTTTTCTCTTCCATGGTTATATTTTGTAGTTAGGTTTAGCAGCTCTCGTAGATCTTAGTTCACGCTGTTCTTTGGCTTCCACCTTTCCACCTACTGCACCTTCTTCTTTTTCAATCACCATTTGGCAGTCCTCTTGAAATTCAATTAGTGAGATTTCTTTTTCTGCCTCTTCCTCTTTCCCTCCAAAAAATTCTGTATAAAATAATTCCGCTTTCTCAATTGAGTCAATTCTATATCTCTGTTCTTGCCATGTGAATATTAAACCTTCTGGAATCAGCCATCTATAATTCACCTCTTTTTAAAGTAGCATTTTAGTCAGGAATCAGTATTTTCTTCTCATCTCTCTCACTCTTCTGGGTATTTGTTTCAAGACCACAATCTCCTTGTCTTTATATTTCAATGTTTTCTCTTTTGCCACTTGCAATATTTGCGTTTTAATGGCTTTCTTTGTAAATCTAATGTGAACTTCTCTTGGTAAGCTATTTCTCATTGCATATCTTGTGAAAACTCGATAAACCTCATCTATTCCATCCATCATCTTCTCTTGAGTTATTTCCAAAGCTTCAGCCAGTATTTCTATCATTATCTATCATTATACTCAGCTAAGTTTTGTCCTTTTTCTTCCTCTACGTTTTGGAATCTAAGATAGAATTCTGATCTATCCATCTCCCATCTCAACATACCACTTTTATCTTGTTCAACCACCATTAACCTATTATCAATATCTCCAATCTTCTTGTCTCTTTGTTTAGCTTCTTCAATTTTTTGGAATCTCTCATCATACTTCAATATCATTTGTTGGATGTTCTCCACTTTTTCATTGGTTTTCCCTGTTCTTTGTTCAATGTTCTCTGTTCTTTGTTCAGTGTTCTCTGTTCTTCGTTCAATGTTCTCTATTCTCTTTTCAATATTCTCTGATCTTGCTTGAATATTTAGAATTCCTTGCATAATCATCTGCAGAGTCACTTTTTCTTGTTCTTTTTCTTGCTTTAACATTGTCTGTATTGAACGTTGTCCTCCAGATAGAGGAGAGGAAGAAGTAGAAGTTGAAGAACCAGGAGCTGTAAATTTCCTACTTATTTTAAGCAATTCAAAATCTTCAGGTTCTTCTAAACCTTAATCCAATTGTGAAATAACCAAGTGTAGTTCAAAATAAAAATAGTTAAAAAAAAGAAGCCAAATAGTAATGATAAAAAAGGGAGGACAAAATTTCTTCAGGTTCTTGTATACCTTAATCCAATCAGTAGTTAGATGAAGAAAAAGGCTTGAAAAAAAAAGAAAAAAAAGGAAAAGGAAAAATTCTTCAAGTTCTTCAACATTTAAATCCAATTGAGAGGTCTCAAATAGAAAAGAGTGCATAAAAACAAACCAGAAAGGTAAATGAAAAAAAAAAATACCAGGAAAGGAGAAAAAAAGGCTATTCCCTTAACAAAAAGGAAACATTAATACTAAAACTTTCCCTTTAAAATAAAAATCAAGCATAGAGATTGGACTTCCAAAGAAAAAAAAGAAAAACAAAGACAAGCTCCAACAAAGCCAAAGATCCAAATAGCTATTGCAAAAAAAAAAAGATAAAATGAAATAAAATAAAGCTGGTGAGGAGGGATAGCACAACTTAGAAAAAGTAAAAAGAGCACTCTGCACTTTGTTTAATTATCCAAGGCTCTTATTATAACTGTCTTCTCCAAAAACTTATCACCTTTTTTCCCCCTAGGTTTCAACACCAGACTCCAGCTGTTGATAGAAACCCAGAAGAGCACCTGCAATAATACTCTCCCATGCTCTTCCCTCTGTCTTATCAAATAGCAATGTCCTTGAAAAAAAGTCTCAGTTCTTTCTTTCTCAGCTTTGTCTGGTCACAGGAGAAATAGAATATTTCCAAGCCTCTAGTTGGCAGTGTTACAAAGTTTCTTTGCTTTCATTTTCCCCCTCCTTTTCCAAGCAAAATATAATAAGAATTAATAAAAAAAGAAAAAGATATTTTTAAAAAAGAAATAACTAAAAGGGAGTCTCTAGCCTAAAATGTTACAAAGGAGGGGAAAAAATTGATGGAAAAGAAAAAAACCAATCCAGTTTCAAAATATAAGATCATGTATAGAAAATCCAGCAATGAGAAAAAAAACATTACTTTGACATTTCTGTTTAAAATCTCCGCTTAATCACTTCTGTCAAAACTTTTACAGATTCTTTCTTTTCCTTAGGGTGTCCTTTCAGATCTCAGAATAAAGAAAAAGTTCTCACCAAACCGGCACACTCTCTCTTTCTGTTCTCTTTCATTTCGGAGCCAACTTCAGCAGCTTTAATGGCTGCCTCTTTGTCGCTGGCAGGAAGAGCTTCTCCTGGATCTACCAGGGACTTTGCGGTATCCCTGGGATTGACAGGATGCGCTCTTCACTTTCACTATCTCTTCGGGACAGTTTAGATCCGACAGGACCATCCAGGAGCAAAGATATCGGCAGCGATCTCAGACCTCCAAGATTGCATGCCGTATCGTCACGACGCCAGCTCCACCCTCTCACCACCAAAGCTTAAGGCAGGGGTGTCAAATTGGATTCCTTTGAGGGCCAGATCAGCATTGTAGTTCTCCTCCGTGGGCCAGGGAGGGGGGAGGAGGAGACATGGGATGGACGCCTCCTTCAGCACCCTGCCGGGTGCAAATGGGCCATGGTGGAGCCTTGTGTGCCCCCTCCGGCCTGTTTTTGGCCTCCATGGCCTCCTGCAGCACTCTGCCAGCTGAAAATGGGCCATAGTTGGGGGCTTGTGAGACCCTCTCAGCCCATTTTTTTGCCTCCATGGCCTCCTGCAGCACTCTGCTGGCCAAAAATGGGCAGCAGGGGGGCTCGTGCGACCTCCCCACTGCTCATTTTGGCCAGCAGAGGCACCGTGGGCCGGTCCCTTGATATTTCTAGCCTGGCCTCGTGATCCAGATCTAAGCACCCCGCAGGCCAGAACTGGCTTAAGGCAAGATTCACAGCAGATTTACACGCTAAGCAGGCAGGGGATTTAAGTTTCAAACAGTTTTCCCTTGCTAGAAGCAACCTCATTGTCTGGGTTTGGGTTACTATGACTCTTGTTTCAAGTCCAATTATTTATGATCCCAAGGATCATAAATCAACTTAGACCTTGCTTCTTCCTCGGAATTCCTTGGCTTGATTTTGGATTGTTTGAGTTGGAATTCACCTTTAAAGTTCTTATCTGTGATTAATTGTTTGTTTTTCTGCTGTTACCTTTCTGCTACGTCGCTGGCCTTGGAGTTGGGATTTACGGAAACAACTCCTCCCTTTAACACTGTGTATGCCTAGGAATTGTCTGGCTTCTGAATGGTTACTAAGAAAGCCAGGATGCAAAATAAAAATAAAAATGGGATCCTGGGTAGCATACAACAACAATCAAAACAATACCACAATCATAAGAACACTTTAAACATAATCAAGAGGAATTAAAGGCAAGATGGTGAAGGATCAGATGGTGGCATGTATGTACAGATGGGATCAGAGGAAGAGTCATATGTGGAGATAGGACCCAGGTGTGGATGGAATGGACATGAGAGTGAGGAATATGATAAAAATGTTTTTCTCTTGTCTTCATTTCTGTGCCATAAGCAGCATTGCTCCTTCCTGTACCTCTCTACAGAAGGAGGGGGGTGGATCACAGGGGAGTGGGGCTGCTGTCTTGGGCAAAGATTTAAAACTGCTTTTACTTTTCTCTGTGGAAGGAGGGGGGGTCATGGGGGGGGTGCTGCCTTGAGCTGCTCTGTGTGGGGCTTGGAACTGCACATTCTTAGCAAGGCAGAAGTTAGCACCTTAAACCAGGGGTCCCCAACCACCAGTCCCCGGACCGGTACCGGTCCGTGGATCATTTTTTACCGGGCTGCAAAGCTTGGGCACTGCCATCTTGTTTCGACGGCATTTCCAGGTTTTTGGTTGCTTCCGGGTTTTCGGTTGGAAAGCGGCGTTTGGGTGCTCGCGCCTTAGTTTCGTCGAAGAGGGGGGTGGTGGCTTCGAACGAAGAGCCGTCCCGATGGCAGTGGAGTCTCACGTTACTCAGGTACCGGTCCATGGAAGAATAAATAATCGTGAAACCGGTCCCTGGTTCAAAAAAGGCTGGGGGCCACTGCCTTAAACCACTAGCCAGGATATTAGGGACAAGAATAGCTTGCTTATATGAAAAACTCCAAAAACCACACGGCTGGCACATGAAACTAGGAGACTTTGCAAGATATACGTGACCTGGGGTGAAACACAGGTGATGCGATATTTAGCTATGTAGGGGGCTGAGATCCAAATAACCAATCAATATTGTCTGTTATGCATGCATTATGAGGGGAAGGGAAAAGGGCCGAATGCGACCACCCCTTGACTATAAAAATTGTTGTAAGAGTGTAATCGGGGCCCTTGGTTAGCTTTTGAACCAGGGCCCTTATATCTTGGTACCAAAATAAAAGTATAATTTTGTATCACATCTTGTGTCCTGTGTGTTGGAAGAATTATCCTTCTGGGTTCAGTTCCAAGTGGGGAAAAAAGACACTGGAAACACGGAGGCTGTTTGGAAAGATGGTTTAATGGTGGACAGGACCACATGGCTTGAAGCTGCAAAGAAGGATTATCACATGCTCCGAGGTGAAGGAAAAGAGAAGGAAGGCTGATATGCTGAGTGTGCCTGGTTTTTATAACCTCTGTTGAGATTTGAATTTGAGCTTGTATTCTCATTGGTTGTCAGACTCCCATCAGGCCATGCAGGGGCAACTCTGTAGGCTGTCCTGAGTCCCAGGCTTGGTTGAGCCTTGCTGGATGATGATGCACTGAAAAGGACTTTGAGCAATTGCTATAGCTTTACCTGGAGATCTTTGTTATGTAAAGTATTCTGGCCCAGGCCTTAAGGGCCCACCATTAACAAAGGTGGGGGTGAGCTTGTACTTCTGAGGTGAGTTTCTGCTTCTGAGTTTCTACTCTTTTTAGGAGAAATATTCTGCCTTTTTAATATTTCCTAGGATATTTCAATTTTCTAGGAGTGGGGTGGGTGCTAACTTGTACAATTCTGACTAACATTTTCACCACTCTGCCACCCTTTCAGCTTTCCACTCTGCTTCCTTTCTAGGTACAGTTGATGGAGCCTGTGATCCTAAAGCTGCCAAGATCCTAGGAGGCAATTATATTCTCCTGGAAGATGGAACCGGATTGACCTATGAGTGTCCTCAGGGACAGTATCCCCATCCGACACGATTCCGGTTTTGTAATAATGGCAACCAGTGGAGCCTCTTGACGGACAGGGAGGGCAGGACTGTCGAGAAGGCTGAGTGTCGAGGTACAGTGGGTTCATTTCTCAAAAGAGAGGCCTGGTATGACAACTTCTCAGAAGTGGTATTCAGCAGGTTCTGACCGGTTCTGGAGAACCGGTAGTGGAAATTTTGACTAATTCAGAGAACCTGCAAATACCATCTATGACTGGCCCCGCCCCCTCTGCCTCCCGTGTCCCAGCTGATTGGCTGGGTCTTCTTTTGTTGCTCTGCACAGGAGAACAGAACTGGAAAGCAGGCTAGTGGGGTGGGGAGGGAATGGAGATTTTACAGTATCCTTCCCCTGCAAGGCCCACCAAGCCACACCCACAGAACTGGTAGTAAAAAAAATCTGAACCCCACTACTGCAACTTCCCCTCTTCCTTTCATACATTATCACCAACCAAGTCCTGGGTTTTCCACCAGAAGGCTTTTTGTCACTGTATAAAAAAAAAACTGTGGGAGTCACTAGCAGGCTTATCAAAGTGCAAAAACATGTTTACTTTACTTTTGTCTATTGTAAATGTTTATAAAGCTGCCTATCTTTAAAAAAACAACTCTGGGCAGCTTACAACCAATAAAACAATATTCGTCAGAATAAATCGAACAACAATAAGATTAAAACCAGGAAACCAGCATGCAACCTTGAAGCACCCACACACCTCCTTTTAATTTTTAACTTATTCTATTGGTGTTTTGGGGTGGCTCCCATTTCCCTGAACTTGATATGTATCGTGTTTTTATATGGTTTTCATTCTTTTTATCTGTAAACTGCCCAGAGTCACTCTAAGAGTGAGAGGGGCAGTATCTATGTTTGATAAATGAATAAAAACCACTGGTGGCACAGTGGTTAGAATGCAGTATTGCAAGGCAAACTCTGCCCAAAGTCTGGAGTTCGATCCTGACCAGTTCAAGGTTGACTCAGCCTTCCACCCTTCTGAGGTCAGCAAAATGAGGAGGCAGATTGTTGGAGGCAATATGCAAATAAGGGTTACATTATAAACCAGCCAGAGAGTGTTGTACGGGGGTGGTATATAAATATATAAGTCTGAATGCTATTGCTAGTGTTAGGGCTGAGCCCCCAGTTTCAATTTGCTAAGCAAGACAGTTGTTGAGTGAGTTTTGACCCATTTTTATGATCTTTCCTGCCCCAGTTGTTAAGTGAATCACTGCAGTTGTTAAGTTAGTAAGGTGGTCGTTAAGTGAATCTGGCTTCCCCATTGACTTTGCTTGTCCAAAGTCGCAAAAGTGGGGATCACATGACCCCCACGGGACATTGTAGTTGTGATAAATATAAGCCAGTTGCCAAGCATCCAAATTTTGATCACGTGACCATAGGGATGCCACAGCAGTCATCAAAGTGAAAAATGGTCATAAGTCACTTTTTTCAGTGCCATTGTAACTTTGAACAATCACTAGCAATAGCACTTTATAAATTTAAGTGCTATTGCTAGTGATTGTTCAAAGTTACAATGGTAACTTCTTCACAGTGCTTTATAGCACTCTGTTAATAGTTTACAGAGTCAGCCTATTGCCCCCAACAATCTGGGTCCTCATTTTACCGACCTTGGAAGGATGGAAGGCTGAGTCAACCTTGAGCCGGTCAGGATCGAACTTCTGGCAGTGGGCAGAGTCAGCCTGTAATACTGCATTCTAACCACTGCGCCACCACGGCTCTCTAAATGAATGGCTGTAAGTCAGTGGTGGGATTCAAATTTTTTTACTACCAGCTCTGTAAGCGTGGCTTGGTGGGTGTGGCAGGGGAAGGATACTGTAAAATCTCCAGTCAGAGGTGGTATTTGCCGGTTCTCTGAACTACTCAAAATTTCCGCTACCGGTTCTCCAGAAATGGTCAGAACCTGCTAAAACACCACCTCTGCTGTAAGTCGAGGATTACTCATAGTGATATTTGTGTTAGGACATAACTTTCCTCTCATCACTTCCAACACTGTTGCTTCTAGGCATCTTCACAGTCTATGGAATTAATTGTGGCTTCACAATTGTAATGGTCTCTGATGAGCAGGGCCAGAATGATTGTGAATGATGGAACTGGAGGGATCTGGATCTGGGATTGGATAGGACATGCGGAAAAATCGATTGTGTCAGGATTCCGGCAGTTACTCCAATTAAATCATGAGCCTCGAGCCACACTCCCAAAACTATAGAGGATTTATTTGAAGTTAACATTCTACGTCTGGCTAGGGTATACCTGGTTATACCTGGGTATAACCAACTCTGAGATACAAAATTCACTGTAACCCTTGATCCTGCATTTCTCCCCAACTCCTCTGGGTGTATCATCCAACGAAACACGTCCATAGCCAAGAGTCATCAATCATGCTCTCCAATTAGAATTTTTTGAGGCAGAAGCTTCAGCCATCTAGTCAGTCTTTGAAGAATATATGAATGGAATGTACTTTCAATTCCACACTGTTTCCTGTTCTTTGAAACCCCCACCCCACCCCTTTCTTTCTGTTGTCAACTATAAAACGTGTATACAAAATGTTTTATGAGTTGACCGACGGATGTTTTCTCTTCCATCTAGCCATCCGGTGTGTCAGGCCTCTAGAATTTGAAAATGGTGTATTTGAGACCTTCCAGCAATTTTACGAGATCAACCAGGAGCTGAAGTTCACTTGCTATGACGGACACAAGCTGCGAGGCCCCCAGATACGTACCTGTCTCCCCACTGGGAAATGGAGTGGAGAAACAGCTGTATGTGATGATGGAAGTGAGTCTGACTCTTTGCGATCAAAATCTATTTGGGGTGGGGGGGAAACATCTATGGAAATTCTCAATCATCCCGCTCATGGTTGTCCCCAAAATGCTTCTGAATAGAACTAAAGAAGCTTCTGGGATGAGAAACGAAACATTTTTAAAGATTAAAAAAACCAGAAAGTCCAGTTGTCTTTTGGGAAGAGAACGAAAGAAGCACTGCTGAGATTCTCATTGGGAAATGCACATGATTTGAACTTGTAGTTTTCCCCTGATTGCTGCATCCCTCTTGGCAGGTTCTTATAAATTTTGCTACTGGTTAAGCCAGAAGGTCAGGGCTTCTAACACTCTCCGCCATCTTGTTGCTTTTGACCTTTACCCTCAGAGGGTAGTCAAATCCCCTTTGAGGTGTGGACGGATCATAAACATTTAGAGCAATGGCGGTATTCTACTGGTTCAGCCCGGTTCTGTCGAGCCAGTAGCAGCGATGAGCAGTGGAGACCAAACTGTTTCTCTCCATTGCTCTGCTGTTGGGCCCACCTGTCCACCCGGGCTTCCATACTCGCCCTTTGCGTGGCACAGAAAAGTGCCGCGCGGCAGCTGCTGAAGCAACCGGGATCGTGCAGGCTTGCAGAAGGTGAGTTAGAATGCCTCAGTGCCTGCACAAAGTGCACATTTGGTGCGCGTGCATGCAAAGTGCATGCATGCATGCAAAGCGCGCCCACCAAACCACACCCACCGAACTATTTGAATCCCAGCACTGACTTAGAGGCTTTAAAGTCTCCAAGGAAATTTTCTCCTAAACAAGTCAGGTGGGCTGAATATTTTAACCAACTTAATTTTAATCTCTGTTTCATACCAGGAGGGAAGAACATTTTGGCTTCTTATCTGTGAAGATAGCAATGGCAATAACACTTAGATTTATATACTGCTTCACAGTGCTTTACAGCCCTAAGCGGTTTACACAATCAGCATTATTGCCTCCAACAATCTGACTCTCATTTTTACCCACCTCGGAAGGATGGAAGGCTGAGTTAACCTTGAGCCTGGTGGGATTTGAACTGCCAAATTGCAGGTAGCCGGCAGTCAGCAGAAGTAAGCCTGCAGTACTGCATTCTAACCACTGCAACACCGTGGCTCAAGATAAGCTTTCCTACCTGACTCTGTGCCCTTCAAATGGACATGCTAGCTCAGGTGGATGTGAATTGTAGTCTCAGAGGAGGGTGCAGCTGTCAAGAGTCTATCGAAGTCCAGAGGCTTAAATTCATATTGGAATACACATCCAACTGATGAACCCTGGCTAACAACGTGCCATATGCTAAAAAAAAAAAAAAATTGAAGTCCTCACATCTTCAAGTTGCCAAGGTCTGAGAAATGCCGGTTTAGAATGATAGAATTCAAAACCAATGATTTCCCAAGGAGTGCGCATCATACATTGATGATGCACTGTCCCGTTTGATGTTTGGTTTAACTGTTTGCCTCCGTGAGTCCTTGGGAACGTGGTGATGCAAAAATGGAATTTGCAGATAAATAAATACATTGGTGTGTCGTGCCTTCCCCCTCTCGTTTTCAGCTGGCCATTGTCCTGACCCAGGAATTCCAATTGGCACTCGAAAATACGGCACGGAGTATCAACCAGGGAGCACGGTCCGCTACCAGTGTTCTAGAGGGTTGTCTCTTATCGGCTCTAAGGAAAGAGTTTGCCAAAAATCAGGAATTTGGAGTGGATCAGAACCAGAATGTCGAAGTGAGTAAATAGGGTAGGAAAAGATGGGCTTGGCATCTGAAAAGGTGAATCTAAAACTGTTATTGATTTCTTTCTTTTTTGCCATCATTTATGGAACTATTGTTTTTTTTTCTCTACCCTTATTCACTCACTCACTCTCACACACACAACACTGTGATGACCTGGGATGTGACACAAAAATAACACAGTCACAAAAATAGAATAAATTCCCTTTAATGCCTCCAACTTGGCCCAATGTCTAATTATCCTTGTCTGGATATCAAACTCTTAAAGAAAACAGTCTACGGAGGGAGTAAATGCAGTCCGAACCCAAAGTAAAGTTAACTAGAAATTAAAAAAACCCAACACAAACCACACTGAAGTAATTAATACGGCAGGCCAGGATGATACATTGCAGACTTCTACCAGATAACACAGCAACTACAGTTGGGAGGAAGCCAAAACCCAGATAAGCTTCGACAAGAATAATGCACGCTTTGCTTCCAACAACTTTGCCATGTGCAGTTTGTCCTTTTAAACAGTCCTCCCAGCTGCAGCCCATGAAGGGGATCAGGGCCCTTTCCTCCCCCATAGACCACACCACTCACGTTTCTCCCTTATCCATTCCTCCCTAGGATGAAGAGGGGATGGGCCTGGGTCTTCTTCTGAATGCCCATCTGGCCTGTGCCCTTCCCCAGTTTCCTCCACAACCACCAGAGCAACACTCCCACTCCCTGTCAACTGTTCGACCTCCCCCTCAGAGTCAGACTGCAACAGGGGCATGACACACACATACACACACACACACACAAAACACTGGGAACCAAATTCACTATCTCCTTTTTTTCTTTCCCAGGCCCATTCACTTTTGATTCTAAAGAAGAAATCACCACGAAGTTCCTTCCATCCCTCATTGAAGTTGCTTTGTCTGCCAGCCAAGGTAAATTTTTGCAAGCGTGGTAGGATAGGAGACTGCAGCATCGTTTTACCTGGTTTTGTCACTGGAATCATTCGGGTTTCATCAAGGATGTTATATCATCCTTGGTAGAAGGATTATTTGTGAAAGTTTCTAAGGCAATTGTACAATTTCTGATTGCTGCCACCTTTGCGAAGTGGGCCAAGTCAGGAAACTTGAGAGCTTGCCAGAATTTCAGTCAGCCCCATCTTATGCCAAACAGGATCGAAATGTGGGGAGAAGTGCCCTGAGCATCCTTTAGGAAGAGCAAGTGGGGAAAAAAGCACCCTGACTGTCATGCTGCAAACCTCATGCCTTATGTTAGGGGTCGCCAAACTTGGCAAGTATAAGATTTGTGGACTTCAAATCCCACAATTCCTCGGCAAGCATGAAATAGCAATAGCAATAGCCCTTAGATGAATATACCGCTTCACAGTGCTTTAGTCCTCTCTAAGCGGTTTACAGAGTCAGCCCTCAATGATCTGGGTCCTCCTTTTATGACTTCGGAAGGATAGAAGCCTGAGTCAACCTTGAGCCAGAGAGAATCGAACTGCTGAATTGCTGGCAGCTGGCGGTCGGTCTGCAGTATTGCATTCTAAGCACTGCGTCACCATAGCTCTTCACAAGAAATTCACAAGTCTTAAAATTGCCAAGTTTGGAGGAATAGTCAACCCTCCAGAAGATAGGCTCACGATCCAGATGGATCTTGACAGACTTGAACACTGGGCCCTATCTAACAAAATGAAATTCAATGTACAATAAAAGTAAGATTTTACACTTAGGCAAGAAAAACCAATGGTACAGGTACAGACTAAGTGGAAACCTGGCTCAACAATAGTAACTATGAGAAGGATCTTGAAGTCCTTGTGGACAATCACTAGCAGACAAAAAAGCCAATGCAATCCGAGGCTGCATTAATAGAGGGATAGAATCAAGATCAAGATCATGTGAAGTTTTAGTACTACTTTATAATGCCTTCGTAAGATCACACTTGGCATTCTGCACCCAGTTCTGGTTGTGTTGTGGTTAGCCGGCAGCAGGTACAGACGGCTGAGGAGAGCGAGGACTCAGATGAGGGGCCAGGACCATTAGGGAGTGGACTGCTGCCTTCAGAGATTGTGGGGGCTGGCAGCAGTGATGAGGAGGTTCCCGAGGAGGCTGTGCCAAGTGCACATGTGCACAGGATTGCTCACAGATAAGAGCAGCTACAACAGCATGGGCGACTCACGAGTAAGGCTGCAAGGTAATGGCCCCTCCTTCAAGAAGATAAAAGCCAGGTGTGAAACAAATGTTCTTTGCAGAACGCAAAGACGTTTTGAAACTCCAGCCTCGTGGACATTCCAGTATCCTGAGTTTGTATTTAAAGGTTCTTGTATTGCAAATTATATCTTGTCTGTTATCTTTTGGCAAGTCTCGCACAGTTTGGCAAGGCTTGTACTTATCACAGCTAATTATTTTGCAGAAGCATTAAAAGGTTTCTGTTCCTTTTGGATTGTGTTTGATTTGTTGGAAAAGGGTGTGGGTCAGAACAGGTTGCCACAATGTAAGAAAAGATGTTGAGACTCTTTCCAGAGTGCAGAGAAGACCAACCAAGATGATTAGGGGACTGGAAGCTAAAATATATAAAGAAAGGTTGCTGGAATTGGGTATGTCTAGTTTAATAAAAAGAAGGACCATGATAGCAGTCTTCCAATATCTCAGGGGCTGCCACAAAGAAGAGGGAGTCAAGCTATTCTCCAAAGCACTTGAGGGAAGGACAAGTAGCAATGGAGGGAAACTAATCAAGGAGAGAAGCAACCGAGAACTAAGGAGAAATTCCCTGACAGTTAGAACAATTAATCAGTGGAACCACTTGCCTCCAGAAGTTGTGAATGCTTCAACACTGGAAGTTTTTAAAGAAGAGATTGGACAGCCATTTGTCTGAAATGATATTGGGTTTCCTGCCTGAGGAGGGGGTTGGACTAGAAGACCTCCATAGTCCCTCCCAACTCTGTTATTCTGGTGTTTTTTTCTCTCTTCCCTTTCAGGAGCACCAGCTAACAAAAGTGACTCCCTTAATATCTACTTTCTCCTTGACGCCTCAGAAAGCTTTGGCCGAAAAAGGTTCATAAAAGCCAGGGAAGCATTGGTGAAATTAATCCAGAAGGTAGGTTCCATTTTGAAAGCTTCCTGGAACCAGGTTTGCTTCAACAAAACTGAAAGCAGCTTGAACTACAAGACCCATGCTCCAGGGTTGTCAATATTCCTAGAAAGCTCTTGTGACACATGGAAGAAGGGCAGATAGGGTCTTTTTTTTTTTTTAATAATGGCCATGCTATAGAAATTGCCTTGTTAAGTAGTCAATAATCATACAGTATATATCAGTGGTGATATTCTACCGGTTCGGCCTGGTTCACCCAAACCGGTAGTAAAAAAACCAGCTACCAGTTTGGCTGAACTTATATTTCTTTTTTTTTTCCTCTCCTGACGATCAGCTGTTCCAATGATCAGCTGTGCTGGCATTCCCCTCGCTGTCTTACTGCTTCGCCCAGAAGGCTTCCCTGAGGCCCAGGAGGCAAAAAACAGAGCACAGGGAGAGGGGCACACAGTAAAAAAAACCCGCACTCTGTTTTTTTGCCTCCTGGGCCTCAGCGGAGCTGCCTGGGAACAAAAACAGCCTCCCCTGAAACATGACAGGAAATCCTCAATTTACAACCGTTCCTGTAACAATTGTTCAAAATTACAACTACAGACCAGTTTGGGTGAACCGGATGTTAAAGTTACATCTGGTTCACCAAACCGGTATTTCAACAGACTGGCTGGCCCTGCCCACTCTGTCCCTCCCCTCCCACGAGTCTCCACGTGGCCCGTTTTCGATGGAGGTCTCTGCGTGGAGGGTCTGGGAAGGGGGGAAATGGGCCTTCCAGAAGTCCAGAAATGGGCCGGTTTCCAGATTCTGGAGGGCTTCCAGAGCCCAAGGGAGGCTGTTTTCACCCTCCCTAACCCTAACCCAGAGGCCTGGGGGGGGGGGGCTCCTGGACCCTTGGGAGGGCAAAAAAATGGCCCTCCTGGAAAAACCGGAACTTGCAAAACGGGCCTATTTCCAGCTTCTGGTGGGCCTCCAGAACCCAGGAGAGCCTGTTTTTGCCCGACCTAACCAAGGACCTAAGAACTGTTAAGGTAGAGTATTATTATTATTATTATTGATTAATTTTTAGTGAGATTCACAGCCTTTGGGGCTGGTTGATAGCTCAACAGCTCGAGTCTTAACCAAGGACCTAGGAACTGTTCAGTTAATATTATTATTATTATTATTGTTGTTGTTGTTGTTGTTGTTGTTATTGTTGCGGTTGCTGTTATTATTATTATGCAATTATTATTATTATTCACAAAAAATGGTGATGTACACAGCAAATGAGTTGATTATGCTGGGTTTCATATCACAAATCATTAATCAAACACTTTCCAAGCATTTAGGACATTATTTTTCCCAAGCGTTTAGGACTTATTATTATATCCAAGGACCTAGGAACTGTTCAGTTATTATTATTATTATTATTATTATTATTATTATTATTATTATTATT